ATACTTCCATCAACTGGTCAACACAGCCTTCATGTCATTTTCTCAGTTATTGCTTTAAAACATTCACATTCTACTCTTAGAAAGATTCACCTGTACCCCCTGAGATTCTATAATACGGCCAGACCCCAGCAAAGAGCAGCTGAGGTAGGAGAGCTTCCTCAAGGGAGGGTGTGGGCTTCAGAAGGTCAAATGGGACCAGGTCAATGGGTGACAGGGCCAAGTCTCCCGTCAGAGGGAGCTCCAATGAAGCTGTCAGGTGTGTGCTGGTTGATCTGCTCCCCAGGGAAGGCTTCCTAGAGCAGGTCTGGGGATTAGCCTACCCAACCAGAGGTCAAAGAAGTATGGTTGTAAGGAACTGTTTAGCTACAGTCACATTCCCAATGTGCTTGTGAGCTACTGGAGAGCAGGTGCTACGGCTTCTCTTCATTCCCCAGAGCACATCCCAGAGAGGGACAAGGGCTGTGCCAAATTCATTAATTAGACAGACAGCACTAAGACAGTTACTTTGAGCAGGATGCTGTGCCAGGAACTAGGAACACAAAAATGATTGAATTAAGGTGTCTACCCTCAAGAAGCCTGCAGTCAATTGCTCCTGAATTGAGGCAAATTCAAAACCAGCTAGTGTGTGGGAGACAGAGTGGGGTGGTATGGGGGAAAGGCCAGAAGGAAAGGTTTGCAGGGAAGGCAGCAGTAACAAATGCAGGTAGGAAATCAACACAGCAGGAAGAGGTGGGTTGCTGCGGCTGGTGTGTGCAGGGCAGACGGGGCAGCAGCAGCTATATGCCAGGTTAGGGCACCAGGGCCCTCTCAAAGGTTTTAAGCATTGTTAAATATGTGTTTTACAAAGAGCACTCTAGTCAGTGTGAAGAACAGATTCTAGGGGAAGGAAAGAAGGCAGGGAGACTGGTGAGGAGGCCAGGCCACTGACGTGGTTGAGATGGGAGACACTGACATCTGAGCCAGGGCGATGATGTTAGGAAGAGAGGGGAAAGACAGGTATGAGAAGCATTTAGGAGGCAGAATGACAGAACCTGATACTTAATGGGCTGTATGGAGCAAGAGGGAGGGAGGGAGCCAAGAAAACATATAAGTTTCTGTTGAGAAGGCAGTGAATGATGGTCCTTTAATGCAGATCAGAATACAGGTAGTGGGCAGGCTGGGGGAGGGGGAAGAGTCTAGTTCTGAATAGACAGCTGGTTGCTTTTCTGAGGAGCATGGTGGGCTTAACAGCCCTCCCAGAAGGTCTTGCCCACAGGGTAGGGAGACTCTTCTTCCCATGACTGGGAGCAGCTTTGGATTCTGGAGGGAGAGTCTCGCTTTCAATGCCAGTGTCTTACTTTGTGATATGCACGTTGGCCCTATTTGGCTCTCGTGGCCCTAGAGATGCCATGGAGCCTGGGCTGCAGGGGCTGGTGCTTTATCTCCTCCATTTGTAAGGTGGTAACTGTGCACCAGCTTTGCTAGAGGCCCTGCAGCTGGGGATCACACTGATAAATTCACTGTATTACTTTGCACAAATCAATATCCCAGCACTTACCAGGGGTTGATGTGACCGAAATTGGTTTCAGCCAATTCGTGAGGGTAATAAATGGCCATTTATCAAATCAATTCATTCTGCGGCACTTCTCTGGCTGCCCATCCTCATGGTACCCATGGGGTGCCAGGCACCATCCAGCCAGTCCCTAGCATACATGTCACACTAGCGTAGAGGACCCAGGGAGGCCTGGCCTAGCCTCTGGATCCAGCTCACTCACATGGGCCTGCTTCAGTGTGAGGTCCTGAGGTCCTGGGTGCTGTATGCCTGCCACAAGTTCTGAAGCAGAGAGCCTCATGCTTCACTTGGGCTGGCAGTTGCAGCCACCAGGCTGCCTTATTTCCTTATGCTTGGGTTCAGAAGCATCCGGGAGCTGGTCACAGGGAGGGAACATGGTTCTGAACATTATCACTGTGATCTTCAGCTTCGGCAAGAGTTGTCACCTTATAAATGAGGATAGAGAAACACCAACCCCTATAGCCTGTCTCTTCTAGGGTCATTGGGCCAACCCACAACCCTACATACCACAGGCCTTCCAGGGCAGCCGTTTTGCTTCTGAGCTTAGGTGGAGTTGAGGTGACAGAATGGGAGCTTTTAGGTAGAAGGAAGCACTCAGGGGACATTTTCTGACAACTCTTGGAGGTGGGGAGTTGAATCATGCACTCTTGCTCTGTGCCAACTAAAAAAGAGAGACTAGGTGGGTGATGCATCAGGGGTCAGCACAGAGCTAGGGGGAGAGATGAACAGGGGCTGGGATTAAGAATTGGTTCCAGTTGAAAAAAACAGTTGTGGGCTTGACCTAAAGAGCACAGGGCCCAACTCAAGACTGAGCATCTTGAGGACATGACTAGGTTTTAATCACTGCTGTCTTACATATACTGGAAAGAGGATGTGCTTTAGAGTCAGACGGTCCTGGATATGGCACCTCATTGCACCTGCAAGGAGGGCGATGCTCAAAGCAGCTGAGTAGACAGAGCTACAGAGCTGCACAGCTGCTATGCAGCAGACCAGTGGCGAGCCTAGTTCTTTCCACAAATGTCTCCCACCAGCAGGCAGTCTGCTGGGAGAGGGCTATGTAAGAAGCTGAGGGAAAACACTATAATGGCAGCTGCAGTCCTAGCACAAGTGGACATGAGACTTTGGCAAGAGACATTTCCTCGGACCTCCATCCAGGTAATCTGGGTCTCTGTGGGCTAGTCTTTCTCTCCCCATGAGAAACTCGAGTATCTTTTCCTTCCACCTCAGACATACCTGTGACAAAGGAACAGGGGTGCCACCTCTAAGGTGGTGGCTGGGGGCAGATGTCTGTGTTCAGACCCAAAAGGGCAGCCTGGTGTGGTTCGGGACTGGGCGGTGATGCCTTGTGTATTCAAACAAGCTTTCCTCTGCACCAGTGTATGCCTGCAGGCAGCCTTCTGACCTCTAGTTGGAGAGGCAGCCCAGCTCTACAGTCTCCTTTTATCTGTTGATAGGGTCAGGCCCCTCACATGAGCTGCATGTGAGCCCCACTGCTAAGTGAGGATGATGGGGATCAGCCTGGGCCTGGCATGTCACAGGGGCAGCTGCCTTCATTTTTCAATTACTCCCTTAATTGGTATCCTAGGGCTGACAGCGCTGCTCAAGAATATCCCAGAGAGATTTGCAGCCACAATTTCAGCCTGATGGCTCCTTTTTTCAGTGAGTAGAACCTGGTGATGTCCTCAGCAATTGCTTGGACTGCCTTTAGTGGGACTAGACTAGAGAAAAAGGTAAGGAGCATGTAAGTGGGGCTAAGACAACTCAGAGCAGTGTTTTTAAAAAACTTTAGCTGAGCAATAGAATTGCCTGAAGAGCCTGTTAAAATACATCCCAGAGTTCATGACTCCACAGGTGTAAAGTGAGTCCTGAGATCTGATTTCTAAGAAGTTCCCAGAGGATGTTGATGCTGCTGGTCTAGGGTTCCTCTTCCCTTATGTCTTCTGTCTGAAATCAACCTTGAGGAGTAATGCATCAAAGCTAGAGAACAAAGGTGAGACTACTGTCCTCATATATCTGTCTGGTAGGGTTTGCACAGGCAATAGGGCCATTAGATTAGGGCAGTGGTTCTCAACCTTCCTAATGCTGTGACCCTTTAATACAGTTCCTGTTGGGCCGCGACAGCAGTGGGGCTCACATCTAGCAGTTGAGAACTGCTGGATCAGGGGCTACATCAGAGGGTAGTCTGGCTCCCAGGGGTCAAAGTATGGAAATAGGAGCTTTAAGGGTGGAGAAGAAGGCACTCAAAAGTCGTTCAGGTGTTTTCTCCAAAAATTAGGCCAGTTGCTGAGAAACTATACTGAAGTGATAAAAGTCGGAGGATGGTAGCCAGAGACATAAATTCCAGTTCTAGTAATATTCAGCTCCATATTACTAATGATGGACAAGTTCCCATCCTTGTCTGCATCTTAGTTTTCTCATCTGAAAAGTGGGGGGTGGGTGTATTGGGACAGATGAAGGTCAGAGTTAGATTTTAAGCATAGGAAAATAGCCTTTAGCAATTTTTAAAAATAATCTGTATCTGAGCTTCCTCATCTGTAAGTTGGGGATTTAGTGGTACCAACCTGCCTCATAGGATTGATTATGTGTATAGGGATTAAATGACACAAGATATGTATGCTAAGAGCCTGTAACAGTGCCTGGCATATAGACAGTATTCAACAGTGCTAACTTTCAGTTTGCTTTTCTTTTTTGAGATAGAGTCTCTGTCACTCTAGCGACAGCACAGTGGCATCATCAAAACTCCTGGGCTCAAGCAATCCTCCTGTCTCAGCCTCCTAAGTAGCTGGGACTACGGGTATCTGCCACAACACCCAGCTAATTTTTTCTATTTCACCAGAGACGGGGGTCTCACTCTTACTCAGGCTGGTCTCAAACTCCTAACCTCAAGCAATCTTTGTGCCTCAGTGTCCCAGAGTGCTAGGATTATAGGCATAAGCCATAGCACCCAGCCAACTCTTAGTAATATCAACTGCACCTTTCCAGTTTGGTGACAATAGCAACGTACTCCTCACTAGAGCCCCGTTTTGGTGCTAGCTGGCGTGCCCCATACTCACCAGCACCTACTGTGGCAATGGCACTCTCCTGGCCAATGATGTGCTCCTTCAGTCGCTGCTCCAGGGGAAAGCGGCGCCGCTCCTCAGCCTCACGTTTCCGCTGCTTTTCCTGGTACTGTGGGGAGAGAGGATAAATGTCTTATGGTAAAGTACTGCTAGTAGATTAATCTGGTTCTGGAGTCTGGCAGAAGACCTGAGTCCAAACTCCAGCTTTATCACTTATAAGATATGCTTATTACCAGGAGAAAGTTATTTTGCCTCAGTTTTCTCATCTACAAATTGGAAATTAAATATGATGATTATATAGGCTTAGCACCATGTCAGACATGGAATAAGGGCTTAGTAAATATAAATTCCTTTTCCCTTATGCTCTTGGAAACTTTTTTGGTTTTCAAACCGGAGCTGTGAACACTCTCTACTTGAACGATACTGCATTTTGATTAAACATAATTAATCAAATAAACATAATGATTGCTGTGTGCCCAGGTTTGAACACAGCCATGGTGAAAGGGTAGGGATGGGGGAGAACTGTGCCTTGTCTGTCAGGAGGTTCTAATCAATTTTGAATGTCTAGGATGTCTGTCCCTGGGCTTTATCCACTTCACAAAAGATAGGAGGAGGACTGAGGTTGGTCACTCTGAGGAAGAAGAGAGCCAGGCCTTGCCCTCAGGCAGCTCAAAGTCAAGAGGTGAGAGGGGCTAGTATAGAGATACTTCTCAGGCAGAACCAACCATTTTCCTTAAGGTTTCAAAACATAAATGCTTATTTCTAGCAATGCCCCTTTCACTAAAAACAAAAACCTGCAAACTACTTAAAAACAAGTTTGTTGAATGTTTGTGAGTCTGTTCTCTAAATCCTTGAGGGTAGGCACTATCTTTTACTCACAGCTATTTCTAGCATGGGTCCTGACACAGTGGGGGTATCTGGTGACTATTTGCAAAAATGAATTTGATGACAGAAAGAGGAGAATTAACAATTAGGGTGGTATAGAGCATAGAGAAGAGAAGGACCCATAAATATGGAACATGGGTTGGGGGGTCTTTCTGGAGAAAAGGAGGTTTGAAGGAGCTGGAGGACCATGGCCATGGACTGTCTGGACAATAGGCAGGGAGGGGCAAGGGCATAGGCCTGATGATAGAGAACATTTGTGAAGGTTGGCAGCTGGAGGTGAAGGTAGTAGATCTTGGATTGGGAAGGAAACACCAGTTTCCTTCCTTCCTTTCTTAGGAAACTCCTTTTCCCTGAGCCCCTGTAACACTAACATCTATCTAGAAAGAGAACTGTCAAGGTAAGGCCCTGTCACAAAAGTTGTGGTTGCAGATTGCTCTTGTGGGCAGAGTGGATAAAAAATACCTGCTGGTTGGGCAGTGTTTTCCTGTTATAGTAGTGACCTTGACAGAAGTTAAAAAAAATAAATAGCAAACAATCCAATTTTGGCTGTTGCTATCAGTCTGTAACTGAAAGCTCCCATCAGTCCTGGGGTTTCATATGGAGCAATAATTCGGTGCTGATCCCAGTGGAGCGATGCTTGCCGGCTGGAATCCAGAGTGTCACTACGCAGCTCCCTCAGGCACCACATACATCACCTGGCTCTGCCGACTCCAGTCATATATCTGCCTCTTCCTCTTCCCTGCCCACCCAGCCCCACTCAGCACTCGGGTCCACCGTGCTGGAAAACTGTGATGGTGAGAAGCACATGCCGGCTGGGACAGTGCCAGCTTGCAGCAGAGCAGGCTGTGGAAGGAGTTTGAAGGGATGGGAAGGATGGCTTGAAAGGGTTTGTGGGGTTGATTTCCTTACTCCCCCCGATGATGAGTCCCAGAGTATTCCCACCTCTGGGCCTTTGCTCACACTACTACCCCACCACAAAAGTCCTCTATTCCCACCAACCTTCACACGCCCCTATAATTTCAACTTAAACTTGGGATTTCTGGTACACTTCCTGTTGGTGTCTCCTTACTCAACTTCAAGGTCCTTAGCTACAAGACTATGTTTTATTCACCTCTATAGTTCCAGCCCCTACCAAAGGGCCCCTTCTCCTCCCACAGAAGGAGGCAATGAATGTTTGCTAAGTGAATAAAGGTAAACTGTCTGTGGAATGGCTGCTATAGCACTGTACTAAGCACCTCACATGTGGTGTCTCCTTTCACTCTTACAGTCATCCTCCATCTGAAATTTGGCTCCTCCTTTGGCTCTTAGTGAGGCAGAAAAAACAAGCTTTGCTCCAGACAGACCTGAATTCAAATCTCACCTCATCTATACCCTATCTGACCTTGAGGAAGTTAATTTACCTCCCTGAATCTTAGTTTTCCTCACTGTACTCGTACTTACCTGGTAGAATCCTTGCTGGATTAAATGAGATAATGTATGTAAAGTACTTAGCAGAGTCTCTGGCACATAGCAAATGCATATATGTAAAATAAGTGGTAGTCTGAGTGACTCAAATGGCCAGCATAGTACCTAGCCCTTATCAGGTCTTTAATAAATGTTATTTCCCTTCTCCTTGTATTTTGATATCAGATTGCCTTTTTTTAAGGTACTGAAATCCTTTAAACTAATTTGTGTAGGGGGCTCCATAGATTAAAAAGAAGAGCTGCTCTGGCTCAAGCAGAAGCCAAGAGCCAAGTTCACCTGGGTGCCCCCATTACCCCAGTAAGGGTTCCTGTCCCTAATTTGCAATGTATAGTCTCAACACTAACCAGGTTCTAGAGATGCCTCTGCTACCTGCGGTGGCTCATCTCTGGCTATCGGCGTTCCTTATAGGGCAGAGAATTCTGCCTCTAGGTACTTTCCAACCACTGGTCCATGGGGCCTCATAGAACATATCTTTTGCCTTCATCACAGGCAGAGCCCAACATGACTTTTCTTTTTGCTTTGTTGATTTGGGTATGAACATCATGGTTTTTCTAAAGCTTCTCCAGGGAAACATATGCTTCTTCTAACTTTTCTTTGGTGTCATGATTTTAGGTCATCTAGTATTCCTGTTAGTTTCTTGGGCAAAGGGAAAGAATCCTAGCCTTCTGTGGAGGTAACAAGGGTGGGCTGGGAAAGGTTACACTGAACTGGCTGATTTCTCAGGAGCTTTCTAGATGATCTTGGGAAAAGTTCAAACTATGGCCCAAATCTCTGAGATTCTGGTTCTCCTCAGCCTGAAGTCCCAAATCCCTATATCAATTCAGAAAAACATCTGAAAATTAATCAGTCGTCTTGATAAAAATGTATAGGACACTGGGATCAAATCAATTAGAAGGTTACTGGTGGCTTGGTGCCTATAGCTCAACTGGCTAGGGCGCCAGCCACATACACCAGAGCTGGCAGGTTTGAATCCAGCCTAGTCATGCCAAATAATAGTGACAACTACAACCAAAAAATAGTTCGGGCATTCTGGTGGGCGCCTGTAGTCCCAGCTACTTGGGAGGCTGAGGCAAGAGAATTGCTTAAGCCCAAGAGTTGCTCTGAGCTGTGATGCTACAACACTCTACCCAGGGCAACAGCTTGAGACTCTTGTCTCAAAAAAAAAAAGTTACTGGCCTCATGCTCTTTTTCCATTGCTTAGCACAGCGTTTATACTAAAAAAATGTGTTGAATGAATGACTGATTTTAAAGGCATGAGCCATACACCCAGCTTTGTGAAAGGGCAGCCAGTGAAGGAAACTAGGGTAATAAGATGCTGATTTGTACATATTATATTTGGGGGAGAGGAGCTTGGTAAGCGTTCCATAAACGAAGGATGCTATTGTTCCTGTTTCTCTGAGGAGATGGGGAAGACTACAAGACTAAATTCAAGGCTCTACTTTGACAGGGTTCCATCAGAGGAGAAGATGAGGCAGGAAACTCAGCCTGTAGAAGCAGAGGGCACTGGACTGAGAGAGGCACTGTGAGGAGCCACCCAGGAGAGCAGGGGAGGGGGAGTGAGCATCTTCTTAATAAAAGCCACACACAATTAACTTCAGAAGCCCTCACCTGGAGCTGGCAGCCACTAGCTTCCCAAGCTGCATCTTGGCTGGATAATCACAGCCACTGGTTTCTATCAGTCTTGATTTAATATGGCACCCCTCCTGGCTGTGAGTGCATTTACAGGAAAGGGCTGGGAGGCCCAGGCGAAGCCTAGTTGGGCTTGCTCTGCTCAGAGGTGGGTGGCTGGGCTAAGTGGCTCTATGGGGGAGGGATCCAGGAGAAGGGTATGGCAGGCATCCCAACTGTTGGGGATCTCTTAGGGGACAGGTCTGACAGCAAACCTGGCAGTGTGTTCAATGAGAGGTAGCTGGGGTGGGGTTGCAATAGTGGGAAGATAGGTATGGAGGAAAGGAGAGAAGAGAGGCCAGGCTGCAGTTTGCCTCTCATGGGGACAGAGTCCACCTGCTGCTCACAGACAGCATTAGATGCCCCATATTACTGACCCCCGATTCCGACCCTAACACTCATATCACAGGGCCTTGAAAGAGGATGACAGAGAGGACGAGGTAGAGAGTTTGACAAAGGGGACAAATGAGACTGGGAAGGGGGGGGGCGGACAACAGGGAAAACCTAGAGTGGGAATGATAAGCGAGGAGCCCAGGCATGCAACAAATAAGTCTAGGGAAAGCAGAAAAGATGGGAACATGAGACCATGGGACAAGAGAGTTACCCAAGGACTTGGAAGTCTCTTAAAATAGCCCATAAAGTACATGTCCCCATAAAGGAAGGGTGGACATGCAACAACTACTAGGTCAGCATCTTGGATTCCTTTCTTTTCTCTTCCAGGCCACCCTCCCTTTGCTACTACAACCATATTTTTAACATGTAAATCTGATCATTCTCCTCTGCAAATAGCTGGAATGATCCAGAGACAAGACTGGTGAGAGAAGTTAAGAGGGGCAAGTACTGGCTAAAAGAAAATGAGTGTGTTCTTCTCAGCGTATCCTATCAGGGCATAAGATGTGGATTTATCTCATAGTTGGTGGCGTTAACTCTGAACACTTGGTTAAGCTGGTGTCTGCCACTTTCACCACTATCATTTTTCCCTTTTAAATTAAGTATCTTGTGGATAGAGCCTTTGACACTATGTAAGCATCCTGTCACTCCTCAAACTTCAACTCACTAGTTTCAGCAACTACTGATGGTCTTGCCTGATTT